TGTGTCATTTTAAAGTGTCTCACCTTTTAATAGACGATACAAGTATGACTCCACCTGTAGGCGTGACAGCAGAGCAGTATATGCATGCAGCACCACCTTCTGATGCAGCAGCTCACTGCAAGCCTCAAACAGTCTCCTCAGTTCAGCCAGCACACTCTGACTAAAATCTGCCTGCTGGAAGCGATGGTATCCACATACCTTAGACTGGTCTGCACACACACCCTGTAGGAAAGACATTTTAAGAACCGTTACAACTCTGGACGATTGTAGCTTTGTGTACTTTCTATTTTTAGTAGTTGATCCAAAAACTGCACCTGAAGTGTGAGTTGTTCATCTCTGAAGCTCCAGAGACGATTCTGTGTGCTCTTGGAGTCGGACGACTGTGTGTGCAGCTGTGTGTGCGACTGTGTCAGCTGTCTGCGGCAGCGCCAGTAGTTCTGCAGGAGTTCAGTCAGTTCATGATTCTCTTGTCGGGCGAGAGCGCAGAACTGGGCGGCACAAACTTCAACACCCTCCAACCATGTTCTCAAGCCCCCTCCTGGCTCCCAGACACTCAGCTGTTCCAGTGTGAATGGCTGTGGAGGAAAAACACGAGCTATGTAATACATGTAACATAGAGTATATATATAAGGCAACAGAAAAGACCCCAAGAATATTTCCAACCTAACCAGATCTGGGAAATATTGACCGTTGATTTCTATTGATCATGTGACTATGCTTTTTTCTACTACATTATCATAATATAATATTTATAACCTTACAATAGTCTCACTGAATGTTATCTCAAGGTGCATGAGTTCACCTGCATCTCTGGAGCTGTCTTGGGTAATTCTGGGTAAAGTTTGCTCCTTGAAAGTTCAGCTACAGACTCCAGAGGCTGCAAACTCGGAGGAGAAGACTCCTGTTCGGGAAGTGCCAACACTGCAGGTTCCTTTGCACAAGTTTTCACAGCTTCTTCACAGAGCTGTATCACAGGACCCTCTTCCAGAGTAGGGAGGGATGGGTACAGTGCAGGGGCACTCGGGACCTCAAAGTGAGTTGAAACACAAGGCTGAGTCCATGACTGTGCATCTTTTCTCAACTCAGTGGTTTGTGGCACAACTTTAAGCTCAGTCCCCTGAGCTTCCAGCCCGCCATTCTCCTCATCTTCCTTTTCCGACTGCGTCAGATGCACCGTTACTTGTGATGTCACGGTTGGCAAATTCACACTTGACTGTAGAGTCTCAGTTAACACTGATGTGGATAAAGTCTGTGATGAGGAGGTTTGTTGCTCCTCAGAGGGCAGGTCCAATGACTGTGCTGTGATCTCAGGGGTTTGAACAGAGTCCTGCTGCTCCTCCTCCGGCTCCTGATATGGCAGACTGAGGGGGATGTCAGTGAAGCCAGAAGTGGAGGCCTCATCACAGACAGCCGAGGGAGCTGAGGCTCTTTTGTCTTCCTCCCCATGCTTCTGCTTCCTGACCTGCTTAGAACATATATCAACAATCAGACATACGTTTGCCTCAGCCTCTGCAACAGTTAAATGTGGAAAAAAAAGGAAAAAGGATTATCACGCATCTGCAGTGTGTCTGTAATCAGCTCTGTCATTTTAAAACAAGGAGCTTTTGTTTTTGAATCCGTGGCTGTTAAGTGAGGTTTCTATAATTTGCTGGTCTTTCAGTTTATTCTTAATTTCTAAGCACTAAAAGTTTGTTAAACTGGATACTCTAAGCTGTCTAAAGGTGAGATAAATAGAGTGTTTATCTGTGCATTGACTCCGTAAAGAATGCAGAGATCTGTTGTTATCTCATGGCTATTCTTGTTGAGACATGTTATCTGGTCACATCCCCCATGTGACCACATGAGGAGAAAGCAAACAAAGGTAAAGAATCAGTGTAAAGAACTTGATTTAATCACCTGAGATTTTCCGCTGCTTTTTGACTTGGTCTTCTTTGGTCTTACCGCCTCCATTTTTAGCGTTTGCTCACATCAGCGTTTTCCACGACTCAGATCACACTGATAGCTGACGGAGCCTGCTGCTGGAAACGACGCCGATCAACTGAAAACAGCGGATCAGCCGAAATCGATCAGTCATCATGTATTCTGGATATGCACAACAACAAGTAGCTCGAACAGCTAGCAAAGTGTCCAAGTCTCTCTGGCGATAAGCAGCTAGAGGCTGACTGTGTTGTCAAGATAAACACTGTCACTGGATGTAAACAAAACAGTCGTCTATGAGCCGTAGAGACAATTCGCAGACGGAGAAAGGCAAAGCAACAACTAGCCTGTCACCTAACGTAAATATAGTTTTCAGAAAATACATTATTCGAAAACGAAATCAATCCTTCCTGATGAAACTCTACTTGGCTAACTAACACAACTGAAGACGTTGTACAAAGGCTAAGCTACGCTAACGACTAGCTGCTCGCTCGCTACGCTACATTTCTGCTCAGTAATGTATTCACCAGCGGCTCTGGGTTTTCCATATTGTTGTTCACGGCCTCATAATAACATTTCAAGCCGTCGAAGCGAGTGACAGGCGACGAAAGCCCCCGTCCGCTGCTCAGCTGTCATTTGTTTTGTTTGTTCCAGGAACTCCGCTATCAGCCTTGATCACGTGACTACTCCACCTCTCTACGGAGAGCCAGAGAGTTCAAACTTCATCATACGCAATTTTTTCTAAAAGTACATTATTAGAAATGAAAGGTATCATTATTCTTATTGTAATATTCTTAATGTATAATCACATCATCTGCGACTAAGCTTAACACTTGGGCGTCAATTTAAAGACAAACGCAGACCTAAAAATCTTTTCCCACTTTTACTGGGTACATTTTTCAACAAAAATCAGTCCTGATCAGTTTTGTTTACATGATCTCACCATTATTTTCAATGAAAAAACTATCCACAACTATTTAATGCATGGAAAATATTTGTTTTCATTTGGTTTCCCATACTGGGATATTTTTTTTCTTAAGCTCAGTACTGGATATGTCAGTGATTAGCAATAACATAGATTCTCATACATTATTATTTTCTATACAGCGTCAGATTTTTAGTACAAACTCAAACTCATGCCCAGAGAGGACAAAAATGACTGTGTCAAAAATGTTAAAAAATACTATGTATTAATATTCTATGTATCTTTTGCTTTTTTTAAATTTGTGTTAAATTGAGTGGTCCTGATCATAGCTAACAAATGTTTATTGATTTTCATAATTTAAACCCTTAAAAAGCCAGTTTGTTTACATGATGCCACTTTTTAGTAAAATGTGAAAATATATATATATATTTTTCCAAATACTAAATGCTAAGAGTTTTTTATTTTTTATTTTATTTTTATTTATGGCAATGTCACAGTCCAGAACATGTCAGCAATTCATAACAATATTGATTTTGATGCTTTGTTATTGTTGAGCCATACAAGATTGAAGAATTTCAAGTTATTTATTACTCCTATCACAGTTTTTACTTTCTGATTGGCCTATTACCTTAGATCACTCTAAGAAACGGCAAAAAAGAAAAAAAAATCACTTTGAACGAGAGCAAGATTTATTTTTCAAATATGTGCTGTGAACTTTCTCTTCATCTTGCCAGGTAGGCTATGGAACTACCAGCTCTACCAAGCTGCACGCACTTAGTTAGCATGCAACAGCACCTGTGTAAACTCAACAGTGGCCTACGGTAATGGTATCTTTCAATGAGGTATAGTTTCCTGAATGGATTACAGGCTGGAATAAAGAAACAATGGGATGTGACTTCAGTACAGGTACAAAGTAACAGCAAGAAAAAACATTTATTTTGAAATGTATGTTACAATGATACACTCACCATTTTCCCTTTAAAATGCATTCACTTGTTGTCCATAACCAAATCCAAGAGAGTCAAATGCTCTTGACCTCTTTGCATTTTATAACAAAGAACATAGTAAGTGCTGCTTGTTATAATAGTAGCTGCAATTGAACTGACCAGCTACACTGTATGATAAGCTAATCTTCTAATCTTCCTGACACATTTAAACTGGACTGTATTTTCTACCCAGCAGCTCACTGAAAATTGACACAATGGCATGTTAGACAGTAAGGCAGGAGGCTGGGGGAAGCATTATATTTTTGGCAGGAGTACATTGACCAAAAGTCCCTCTCTGGACGTTAATTACACCCTAAAAACTAAATTCTGTAAAGTAAAATATTTAGAAGTTTTTTTTTTGTTTGTTTTGTTTTGTTTCTGTGAAAAATAACCCCTCCCTGACTTAAAATCACTTAGATGTAAAACTCAGCACAAAGTCCTGCGTCTGTCTCTTACACTCCTGGTGTTTGCTGCAGCTCGAGCACACCAGTTGAACTAAGACACTGTAAATGACTCCACGTTACACACTGCAAGTTGCAATATTGGAGTTTGAAATGCGAAGCCATGGCTTTAGCTGCTTCAATTGAATTTCCCTTCTGGGATGAATAAAGTATTTTTTTCATTAATTCTTCTGTTCAGTTCATGACATGCCTTCCAGAACATAAAAAGCACCAAATGGTAAAATAAAACCTTGATTTTCACTGGGGTGGTACTTTGTGTATCATATCACACTTCTAAAACAACGCAATAGAACTTTGCTTATATAAAATGTGAGACTATAACAGCTATTTATGCAAAAATCAGATAGAAGTTCCTTGTAACAATGTAACTACTCTGCTAATATTTGAGCTAAATAATTTAAATGCTGTGCCACTTGTGGTTAAAGACACTGAATCTCGTTTTGTAGCTATAAAACTACACGTGTTGTTAGAGTGTTATTAATGTTACAGCATTAATAATACACACTTAACAATACATAATATACCTAGATTAGACATTATTGCTGAACTTTCGGTAATATTCTTACTGAGAATATGATGACCCTGAAAACGTTTGATAAATCCTGTTCTCTGTAACAGACGTCACATATTAAGTGGCGACATTCGTGGACTGATTCATTAACTGAGCCATATGACAACTTCATCCATTGTCTCTATTCTATCTATTCTAGGTTATTTGAAGCCACAAAAGTCTGTTTGCGTTGTGTTCTTATGGAGAGTCGGTGAATGACTGAACATTGGGGTTATCTCGTCGTCGGTGTCCTGGCTGTACAGTGTGTGTAATGGAAATTGTTCTTGCTTGTATGAGTGAGCGGGCGCCTGGCTGAAGACTTCAGGTGTGTGGTGAATGTACGCCTGGCTCAGAGCCAAGCTGAGGATCTCTGTCTTCTCCTTGTTGAAGCGCAGCTCTACGCCTTGACGGCGAGCCAACACCAGCTCCCTCTGTGCCGCCTGCAGCTCCACCCCGAGTATCCCCGGCGACCTCTGCTCCCGTCCGAGCCAATCCAGAGCCATGCTGCTGCGCATGTACTCATCAAGTCCTCGCTGAGAGTAATAGGCAATCACACTCTGAGGTGGAGGAAGGAAAACAGGCAATTATCACCGTATAGAGACACACATGCTGATGCTTTGATAACGTTTGCCGTAACCAGGAATGAGATGTGTAATTGGTAAAACCTTTACCTGTCGAGAGCACTGCCTTTCCCTCAGAGCCTTCAGCGTCCCGTTCCAGTGCAACAACTGGAAAATTGTCATCATCTCCTGCAGCGAGATGAGGGTCAGAAGCAGACACAGAGTGAGTGAGAGAACGTCTTGTGCAGCCCCATGAGGAATGACTTGAATAACAAACCCAAACATCCAGATCAGTGTATGTAAGTCTGACAAAGATAACATATTATTTTAATATTTCTTTAACCCACACCTAAACTGTGGCTGATTGGTTTGACAAGATATTATAAATCTTTCTGCACAGGGCAGGTTTCAGCCTGATTTTTAAAACACCGGCTGAGAGAACAGCTGCCGTGTGTTAGGAGCCAGTGACATTAGCGTTAAACAGAGAGAGACTATACATTAACTAGAATTGAGCTAATGAGACACAGATGGAAAACATCACACGTAAACTGTCTGGGGTTGAAGTCTGTGTTGTACCTGCTGACCTATTTACAAAGTTTCTTATGTTACTTGTTTATGAGTCTGCCTGATTGCCAAACTGTTCGATACCTCCTGCACCGACTGCACGTATAAACTGTACGAACCACGGACAGCTGCATACCTCATGGTCGATGCTGTGTGTGCAGGATTTCGTATGTGTGTGCCTACATTTCGGCGGATGTGCATGTGTATAGTGTGTGTGTTACTTGGAAGCTCTCCATCTCTATGAATTGTGTTTTAGCAGCAGGAATGATAATGAACCCATTTCCTCCTGCTAATAACCCCCATGCTGCAGACGTGCTTATTTACACAAAGGTAGAAATATTATGTGCTTCATACCACGACTCCCTGCCAGGGTCTGAGAGAGAGAAGGAATGGGGATGAAAAGGTAAAAGCAGACTAGGGGCGTAATGATTCCAATGAAAAGTAGATTTACCACCCACTGGTTGTGATTTTTATTGTGTTTGGCTCAATCATTGCTAATTAGGTTCAATTATAACACATTAATAAATATACCACTTCACAAAGCTGAAACCTTTGAACTAAATATATCAGTCATATGATAACTACATCAACCGACAGCATTTATTTTACTGCAAAATGATTTCATGTTTTACCTGGAACTCCAGCATGGTCCTGCCAGTGTAGGAGTTCAGCAACAAGCTGTAGGTTCCTATGCTGGTGCTTGAATCACATGCATCTTCTATACAGACCTTTACACAGAGAACAGTGCAAGTCAGCATTCACGCTGAGAGGAATAAAGTGCAACACTGTGTGCTTGCGTTTGGTTACACTTACGGCACTCTCTCTGGCTGCCTGCTGCAAACTCTGACTGATGAACTGAGGGCTGATTCGTCGACACGGCAGCTCGTTCACGAGCGAGTTCATCAGAGCCACGCGAGCTGCGTCTCTACGAGCCTCTGCTTGAGTGTCACACACCTGAGAACATGAAGATTTTATTTTTTAAAGAGATGGGAAATTTGGTCGCTTCAAACAGTAATTTCAGGGTCAACGAATACGTGTGGGTTTAGAATTGACTGACTTGAGTCTGTAAGTCCTGTCTGTAAATACCCACTTTAACATTTATGACGATTTCACACTTCACTACAGCTAATCATGGGATCAGAACTCAATTCACCATTGAGATTAAGACATTAGAGCTATTCGCAGATAACCAATCACATGCCTCCTCTGAGCTGGGAGGGGCTGCTGTCTGGGTCACAATGAACCCATTGAGAAGCATCATGGGATTTCAACTGAACAACATCGATGTCAAACAACCCTTAAAGTGTGTATGTGTGATGGTGTGGGTGACCTTCAAGATAGTTTCTAAGCATCCAGCAACAAATGTGAAAGTCGATTCGATACATCTTAGCAAACATTAAAATGCTTTTGTTAAGAAAAACAATTTATATAAAAACATGAGGATGCTGTTGGAGTTCATAAATTCGTTAAGATATACTTTGTGCAACTGCAGAACAATTGTAGATTTGAAGTATGATTAAAAGTATAATTTATGTTGTGTAGCAAACATTTAATGTGAACAGCTGATGACTTGTCTTAATTACATTTACAGCTAATATAACAGATTCCATGCTTTCTATACTTTTATAATATACTGAGAATAGGAACATCATCAGCATCAAGTTATAGAAAAACAATCCTGACTTTTTATTCTGCTCCTACTTTTGGTTCCTTATGTGTGCATGTTGGTTTTCCTTCCAATAGCAAACTGACGATAATTGATTCTGGGCCATTGTGGAAGTACAAACATGTCAAAGTAACTACCAAGTGCAGAAATGTTCACCGATGATGACAAACACACCTTATAGTTGCCAAAGCAGCTTCCTCCGGGAAGAGTGACGTAGCAGACGTACGGAGGACCGGGAGAAGGTGCAGATTCGTACAACAGCAGACTCTCCGTCTGACCGGCTGCGTTCCCTCCAGAACCCTCTGATCCACTGGAGGAACCATTTAACGAACCCGTCTGCTTCTGCTCCCAGAAGTTATGGAGGATGGCCACCACATTCACTGCACACACGGATGACACAATGAAGACCGACAGCTAAAAACATTCATCAGTGTAGACTCAGTTCATCGGTATTAATTTCCTTAAAACATTCTAAAAACTCTTCTGCGTTAGCATAAAGGTCAAGTTTGACTCAGAGGAGACTTGTGAGAGTAAATGTTAATCTAAATATACAAGCTAGACATGTGTATATATCAGCATTCCCAGACAGTGTTTATTTAAGTATAGTTAAGTGAAGGGGAAACACCTCATAACTTACACAAATCAGCATTTTCTAACACTTTAAGCTAAATCTGACCCTGAAATAGATCCTGTGTTAGTGCAGTTCAGTTTTTGGCACATGGAAAAAGTTGACTGACGCTTGTTGAAGGTATTATAGCAAACGAAGTTCTGACCATCAGCTGCCTGTTTTGTTTTTTCATATTTTAATGCATCACTTTCAGGTTTGTGTTCAAGGCGTTTTTAACTTGTAACAACAAACGCTTTGACTTTCATACCTAAAATAAACACGCCTCTATTACTTGCAGAAACGAACCTTTCTGCCTCACTAAATTTCTCAGTTACTCACAGTCTTTGGGGCCGGCGTCAGTCTCACTCTGTGACAGATATGACATGATGCTCTCGTCCACCTTCACCTCGCTCATCCTCACCCAGCGTTTAGTCCCACTGCTGCCTCAAGCACATTCAGTCCTACTTTAGGGGGGAATACCAGCACATGTCCCTAAAAACAAGCAGCCATCACAGCTCAGGATGGGGACATCACATGGAAAACTCCAAATCTAAAGGCGCCTCCACTTGCTCTTTCTCCACCTCTCAAACGCCCTTCCTCCTCCTTCTCCTCCTCCTCTCCTGTGTGAACATCTCACCAGGGTTTCTCTTTTGAAGCAGACCACCTTTGTCACTCTCACTGCCAATTAGCTCAGAGGGCCCCTCACTCCCTCTGCACATGCACACACACAGAGGTGCAGAGCTGGAATGCTGAGCCCCTCCCCTCGGGCTGTGCAGCTGGCTAATCCCCGAACTGAGCCGGACAGTTTAAGACATGCAAAAAGTTGCCAAGTTGAATCAGGCAGCACAGTGTATATATTTGTTTCTCTGATTGGTTCCGGTCCGGTTGATGCTTCTTCGTGTCAGCATCCGCCGTCAAATAGGACAATTCCACCCAACATGTAGTGTCTAAGAAATGTGGGGGGTTGGATATTTTTGACTTCCCACTCAAATTTGAGCCCGCGGTCCGAGCTCCATTCAACCTCTTCACTATGAATGGCCATTGTTAAAGTCTGAATTCACCCGCTTTCTAAAAGCCTCTTACACATAAATTAACCAAATTCTGAAGGTTTCTTAGCTCCCAGGTTCTCGCATCTTTTCCTACTGTGTGCCTCGCTCTGTGTCTATACAGCCAGTCCATTTCCTGAGTCTTTTCACGATGAATGTACTGGTGTGTTCCCACATACATGTGTACGTATAATAGTTGGAGACCTCAAAGTCAATAAGTTTAGGATACACAAAAGCTCTCTTTGAATTGTTTCAATCTTGAATCCAATTCCACATCAGTCATTCTGTCAGGAGTAGAGAGATACAGGCCGAGCATGAACCTCAGTAATAACAAGTTAATCCACACTTTTCCCTCTGCTGCAGTGATATTGGAGGTTGACATGACAAATATATCAGTTTACAAGAATGTGTTCAACTTGATGTTTCATACAGCACAGCGTTGGTTGTTTCATGTTCAGATAAGTTACACTATTAAAAAAAAAGAAAAACAAAAGGAAAACACACCTTAGCAGTAACTTGTGAATCAACTGTTTAATCATAGCATTTTATTACACTAAATAGTCCATATTTACATTAGACTCAAGATATTTTTTGCAGTTCAAATAGAAAAACAATTTGTTTGACCAAGTGGGGGAGGCAACACCAAGAAATACAAATGGTTCTGTTCACTTCAGTGTGACCTTAGTTTTGCAATTCCTCTTTGATTTCCTCCTGATTGTACAAAACAGTTGAGTCGTTGCCCAGACACTCTCTTGTTTTTTCCCCATCAATCATCACATGTTTACAACTCTCCAGACAAAGGAGCAGAGGCACCATGCAGCACGCCTGTCAACCACACAAAAAGCATGTTGACATGAATTCCATCTGTCCGTCACGACAGTCCTATTTATCCCCAGAAGGAGGCACTGTCCAGGCTAGACTTGATGTTATTTTGGTTCTCCCTCCTGGACTTGGTCACCAAGTTGGCCTCTCCTTTCTGCAGACGTCTCCTCTGTGCTGCCTTCTGCTGTTTGGTGAGCTGCCTCCGCACCTTCTGACGGACTACCTCCTGCACCGCACACAACAACAACAGCAGGTTACTACAGATCAATGTACCAATGTCTGTCTCTGCAAACCAGACACAACACTCTGGAGACAAGCTGCATCTGCTACCAGTCACTTTCTTTTACAAACTCCAGCACCACATGAAAGCTCTTCAGCAACACCTACAGGACATTTTGAGTTTTTGTCAAAATCTGTGTCTAGTGAATGCTACAGTGTCACGCAAAATGTCCAAATATTCATACAATGCTGCCCGTTTATTATCATACCCTTGGTCCAGGATGGAATTATGACTATATCCGGGATATTCCAGTAAGTGGGCTTCACGATTAGCATATCGAAGTGTCTGCAACGATAGAGCTCTGAGAAAATTGTGTCTATGTGATGAAAAACGTGGGTTTATAAAGTCAAAATGGGAATGTTTTCGCAAGATAAAAGGGACAGTTACTTCGAAGATCAAGAAACATTTATTCAAATGATGCTCTATGGTTTTGCTTCAGTGAAATTTCACCTTTGTCTGTATAAAAAGCCACCCCGTCAAAAAGTTATTTCCTTTAATTAGTGGGTATACAGAGGATTAACTTATCATGATTAACTAGCTGAGCAGTTCAGTTATGAGTGACGACATGCTCTGTAACAATGCGATTCTCTTTGATGGGCCCTAATTCATGCCAGACAGTGTGTGAATAACTCAGTGAAGCTGATCTCAGGTGAGCAGGTAACTGATCAACAAACAAACACGTTGCCTTCTGCGGCTAGCCGGGGTGAGATAATCTGCCACGCATGAGCAATGCTCGGCCCGTGAGCCGTAACGATCGGCTAACCATGACTTTAATCAGGCAAAAGTTATTCCTGGAATTAATTTTGGGGAATTTCGCTATGACAAAAATCGGGATTATGACATTATTCTATAGCAATAAATGGGCTGTTTTACTACAGGTTATATAAGAAATGATTCGGGACGTCAATATTATATGATCATAAACAGGACATTCTATAAAGCAGTATGACATTAAGTGGGCAGCCTTGTACTTTCAAGTGATCAAATGAGGTGCAGTGCTTGTATTTTGTAGTGAGACTGGAATGGAGCCTCTGTTCCCACCATTGATCGCCTCTGTATAATACATTACTGCAGTGTGTCTATATTTTACTTACTGCAGGTATAGTGGAGCAGCTCCCCACGCTGCCCACTGTCCCCTCACTGTCTGTCCTCTTCCTCCTGTGTTCTGAAATGTGTAGAAGACTGTCCTCGTCTCTGCAGGACAAAAACAAAAAACACCCTGAAGTTATTACAACACACTTCACAACAAAGCCCAGAAGTTTAGTGTCACTGCATAATTTTGCACATTTTTCCCAATTCTGCTTAATATGACTGTCTGTGTGTAAAATTCTGGCTCTGTACTTGATTTGCAGCATTTTAGCATAAAATCATTAAATTAAAAGGGCTTCATTTCAGAGGTTTTATTGTGTTAACTTTACAGTGTGCTCACCTGAAAGGTTTAAACTCTTTGTTGCAGGCAGAAAGGTCTGTCAGCTCTGGGCACTCATCATCTGCTTCCCTCAGTTCTTCCTCGAACTCTTTTGTTTCTTCATCCCCTCTCGCTGGAGATGTCGTCTCAGTCTCCTCTGTCGTGTTCTCACTCTTTTCTTCCTCCTGGTCTTGAATGTCTGCATGTGTTTCACTGACTTTCAGTCCCTCCAGTTCCAGCATTGCATGTTTATATTCCTCCATGTCCAGACTCTCCTCTTCTCTTTCTGCTTCATCATCTGTTTCCTCTTCGTCATCCTCCCCATCCTCCTCTTCTTCATCATCTTCCTCAGGTCCAGCTGGGTGTAGCAGTGCAGCATCTCTCTCCAAATCTTTGGTGAAGCCGCTGGCTGAGACTTCAACATCCAGAGAATAAGAACGCCTGTAGAAATTTAAAGTGAAGACAGCTCATGTAAGAATTATTTTTTCACTTTGAAAACTCTGGACAATTCAAAATGTAATTTGTTCAAACTAAAAAAACATACTTGATACTTGCAACATTACCTGATGTCTTTAAAGGTTGGAAAGAGTTCGCTCTCGTAATTGAATCGCTTTGCAAAGAAATCTCTGATACATTTGACGTCTCGGTCAAAGTACCTAAACACAGAGGTTGGACAAGTGAACAACATGTACATCTTTTATATGTTTTAGTAACTTTAACTGTTAATTTTTTACTTTATAGAGGAGAGACCAACCATTCAGCATTGGGATGTGATGTAGACACCATTTGAGGAAAGTCGATCATAGTTATGTGGTCCTGGTCATCCAACATAAGGTTAAACTCATTGAAGTCTCCATGAATCAGGCCATTATTGGCCAGCTTGACTATGAGCTCCATGAACTCACTGTACAGAGCTGATGGATCCTGCAGCTCGTGAACCTGACACCTGAAAGATTGGAACAATACGCACAAACTGTGTAAGGAACAGACAGAGGGATGGTTGTAATATTACTGCTGGAATGTGGAAAAGCAAGAAATAACAAAAGCAGGTTTACATACAGAGGATATCCATTGATGAGCTCCATCACTACAGCATGTCTGTTATAGTCCACAGGTTTGGGAACGGGAAATCCTCGATCATACAACGCCTGGGTGGAGAGAAGATAGAATTCAGAAGATCCACAATACAAAACTGGATGCTTACTGCACATCTTATGAATTACTGGTGACATTTTTTCCTACACAGTTAATTTCCCATTCATTCTTCCACATAGTTCTTTTGATTTGGCTCATTACCTTCATGTAGGCAAACTCTTTCATAGCAGAGAGACGGGAGAGGTAGAGCCAGGACATGTTCTTCCTGTGCTGGTGATAATCTCTCTTGTTCTTTAGGTTCCTGAAGGAGGTGCGACCCAATCGATGCAGCTTCAGAGCGTACTGGTCTCCGTTGGGACCTGCCACAATATATATATCTACACACAAGGAGAACACAAGGAAATATTGTATGAATATGAAAGGCTGATCCTGGGAATGAAGCAACTGAAAACTGACTGAAACTGCTGTCTTAGTCTTTTTTATTTCTTTTGGAGGAGTTATCTACAGTAGCCTTCTTAATATTACTTCATGGTTGTAATTAAGAGAGTCAGAATAAATGTTTTGCCACAACTCAAGTTTGAACCACGTAAGGCTTCTTGAGGAAACATGTTTTGATGAAACAACAGGTTTGTGACACTGTAACACATTAAAGTTTATTAGATTTTGAGCAGAGACTAGTTATAGAAATAAATATATTCGTACTATGTTATTGGTTTCAACTAAATCGCCACAGTCTACCAAAATGTGGAAGTACAAAACTTGAATCCTATGACATTTTCTCCTTACCCGACTCTTTTCCTACACCCATCTGGTTGCCAACAGAAAATACCACTTCTCTGGAGCACAAGGTCTTTAGAGCCAAGTAGTCATATCCTCCGTAGTTCAACCTGTAGCCCTGAACAGCTGAAATCAACACACATACCACATTAAAATAATAACCTACATGCACTGGCTCTATTGTGACTTCTGAGGCAAATGTGATATTTCTGTGTGTTTTCTTACTCTTGGTGCGTTCATAGACCACCAGTTTGTGTTTCACCAGCTCTCTGAGGATCTTGTTGCAGCCGCCGTGTTTGAGGCTCGCAATGGAGGACAGGAGACTTACTGGAACAATCTCATGGTTCTTCATTCCCATCTCAACCTTTAAGAGAAGAAATAAAATGATCGTTAGTCTGCAGAAATTCAAACCTGCTTGCCGCAAAAGTGCTAAAACTGCTGCCGAGCTGAAAAATGAATTGACTTCACACAATACTGACTTATTCCTATGTGCTATCAACAACAATTCTGGCTGTTCTCAATCCGTCTGTTTATGGTAATGAAGAGATTTCATCTGATCACAACTCCCATGTAAGTGACGAGAGAAAGAATACACATTTCACTTTCTGTGCGAGAATGCAGGTACAGTCTACTTGGTACAAATTCCTCTCTTTGTATTAGCAAAGGAACACAAACAGGACTTTTTGGATCAAGAAAGATTTTGTAAAGAAAGACTACCTTTGGAAGACAGCTAATTGATTTGACTAATACAGACAGTGTTAGCCAACATTAGTCTAGTATTAGCTTTAGCTGTACTATGGAATACAATTTTGCACAGAAAGTGGACGGAAAATTTTCTCCACATTTGTAACATTGAAGTTGATTTAGAGGCAGAGGACTATTGATTACAGTGACCCATACAATACACACACACACACACACACACACACACACATATATATGCCTATAAGAAGGACTGCACAATAGATTGTTTCAGCATCATTATCTCAAAATGTGCAATAGTCATTCTGTAGAAAGTGCAATGAGACATAATGTGAATTAGGTCAAAAACAACTTGCTACAACTTTTTCTGCTGCTTGGATACTAAAAGAAAACTTGCACGGTTAATTACTACATTACTAATCTACAAGATAAGTCTGTCTGGCATAATTTATTTACTATTACTATTAAAATGACTGATTTTAATTTTTCTTTTTTCTCTCTGAACTTTAAATACACAACATCGTAAGAGCACCTGGCATGTAAACACACATTGCACGTCACATCTTTGATGATAGTGATTTGTGTTATGTTAACTAACCATATGACAGCACTGACATTATGTTGACTGCACTAATACATATCATTAAGCAGCTCTTTGGCAGCTCGTTGATGAGCTGCTGGCTGATGTATGTACAGTAACGTTAGCTGACACTGGGTTAGACCGAAGCTAGCCTAGCACAGGCTAACATAACTGGGACAAAACCCATCAATTTGCTCGTTACTTACCGCTGTGAGGACTCGGAAGTCATCCCGAGATAAATATCTCAATATCACGACATTTAGCTTCCCCATATTTCACCCGGCACACAAACAGTTAGTGTGTATAAAGTGTTATTAATGATAGTTTTTGAGCTCGGCTCTCCACACTCTTAGTAAACACACGTGCAAGGCGGAAATTCGCGGAACGGAAGTTACGTAACGTAACTTACGTACGCCACGCTTACGTTAATGATGTCATCACGTATTTCTTGTCATTAGGGCTGTCTGTGTGGATCGATAGATACTTTATTGATCCACTAAGAAACTGCAGTATTGCAGCAGCATCGTACACACATAACTGACATTGACTTGACATGATGTAGGAAAGAAAAAACACGATTTTAAACACCTATACACATGTTCATAAAAAATAACAAAACAATACACAAGATTTAAACAGCATAAAATATCAATTACATAATATTAAAGAAATATGGCATTAGTACTAATAGCAATAGCAACAACAACTTATCGATAATAATGATAGTTATTATAATTTCTATAACACCTTTCAAAACTAGAGGCTAAAAATGCTTTACGAAACATTAAAAGAAGACAATAAAACAGAAACATGAACAACTATACAAATGCCTCTGTTTTTTAAAGGCTTTTTTTTTTTTTTTTAAACATAGCAACGTCTAAACTGTTCTGACAGTATGAGGTAGTAACTATCACAGTACTGGGGCTAAAATGGCAAAAGCGTGGTCCCTTTTTGTCTGCAGGCTGGACTGTGGAACTTTTTATAGAAGCTGATTCTCTGATCTGAGGGGCTGAAGTGAAGAATAAGGGTTTAAAAGTTCCACAATTAACTACAGCAAAGCAGCATTGGAGAGGCTCCAGATTGTCATAAATAAAGTGGAGGTGAGTGCCAATAATAAACCATTTACTATCATTTGACCCGAGTGAGTTAGAACTGACGTATTACAGGAGTACTGACAGATTTAACAATAGGTTTTTCTAAAAAAAAAAAGAAAAAAGAAATTAACTAGTTTAAAATGCCTAAAGGTCTTTTAAAATCATTTACCGTGGTTCTAGCTGTATTGCTAAAACATATATATCTCCAGACCTCATGTCAGTCTTCTTGATTTACATCTGCTTCACTCTTCCTGTTGCACCCGTTACAGTGGAACAACAAACATCTATTATATTAGTACATATTACATATTTTAGTGACAAGAGAAACAGAATAACCAAATGAATAAATCCTCTACATTTTGCAATTAATACCATACCTGAATAAGAAAACTTAACTTAAATTAGGCTTCTTTTTAGATATATATATATTGCCTCTCTTTTAGCAGTAGGTTGTATTTTTTTATCAGTGCTTAACTACACAGTTATTATTTATAGCATGCCACTGCTCTTACCCTCAAATCTCTTGATCCCATGCATCACAGTTCTCTTGGAGTTATTACAGGTGACAGTTTTTAGAACCCATCTTTCTATTCTTTATGAGAAGGAGGCCATCCGAAAGGAACAACATTGTTGTTCTTTACTTTACAAATAAATGGGAAATGAACTACCATGTTATCTATCATCACTTTTGAAACTTGTATATATATTTTGGGCTACCATGCCTGCGCATAAGATTGGATTTCCTTAGAGATCCCATTTACAAAACAGAATTGGGAAAACCTGCTTTCACCTAAGATGTATTATGATGTTTTTATAATAGCTTTTTAATGTTTTTCTTAATGTGTCTGCTTTGCATTTTCGATAATATACATACTGAATGTTGATTCTATATTTTTAAACTTGCATAATCATTTTTGTTATGTATTCTCAGGGCATCACTGTGAATCAGAGCCTTGCTGTCAATTTCCTTTCCCTGATTAAACAAAGAATATCAATCAGTCAGTCAATCAAAGGTGAGGTGCTGCTTTTGTCTGATTTTGGCTTGTTTCTATCACGGTTTACTGGGACACTTAATATCGAACTGAATCATCTTTAATTCAGCCTGTGCTTTCCTGAATGTGACAAGTCAAAATTTCCTCTTTGAAAAAGGCCCATTAGGTACAGTAATTCCCTGAATAGCTTGAACTGGCATCCAAACAAACAGAGGCCTGATGAACATGATTTACTGAAAAATGTTTTATAGGTCTTTCAATCAAAAACATTTCTTTGGTTTTTCTAGTCACATACTGGTGAGAGATAAAACAGTTTCGTTACCTGCATCAGTCTTAGATGTTCTGCTGTTGGTAATCAATGTAAAGTAAGGCTTTGTTCAAAACTTGTGTGGCTTCTTGTGCAGATTTTTACTTAAAATAATGTAAATGATAAGTTTGGATTGTGACCTGCAGGGTTTGTGCAGTTTTTCTTTTCTGTCATGAGTCAGTTTTTCCACATATTACATGACATGTCACATCAGCAAACACAATTAACATCATAACAGCAATGATAGCTGAAATCTATGTAACTGTGCATGCATGCTGTCTTACCGTCACACTGTCATGGCAGTGCAACACAGAATCAAACCATTGTTAATGTTACCGCCTGTGCTTTTCCTGTTACGACAAATCAAACTGCTGAAAAAAAAAGCATATTACCTGTCAAAGCGTACAAGACAAAAAATATGTGAGGGTGTAGATGTTTTTTATTTTGACAATATGTTGGATGTTTTTTATTTGGTGATTGCTTGCTCTGTTGACATTTGTGTAGTTTTATTGTTCCTTGTAATCAGGACAGATCGCTGCTGTGTGAGAAGAGAAGTTTCCCCACAAGGGCAATAAAGTGTACTGCACCGTACCGGAAAATGAAAGAAGTATATCTAAAGTTGTGCTGCAGGAAGCACTGCATCATCCCTGTGAAGGTCGTGTGTGTGTGTGTGTGTGTTTGTGTGTGTGTGTGTGTGTGTGTGTGTGTGTGTGTATGTTGTGTGAGCATACGAGAGAAAGGGTGTCAAATGGAGATTTACTGACAGGTTCTATGTTGCTGTAGCAGCTGGATTCTGTACATTCCAGTGACAGGTAGACAGTAAACAGTGCAACACACACACCCACACACACACCCACACACACACGCACACACACACACTTCACTCATCCCAATCTTCCACCACTTGGAGCCAAATTTAGATAGTTGAGCATGTGAAGGACAGAACCAAACGACTGCTAGAAAAATGTAGAAAAACTCCCAAGATGCTTCAAACTGCAGAAGCTACTCTGAACCACATCACTTTGAGAGGAAGTGGAGTTGTTTTGCTGAATTTTTTGCTTCAGCATGTATTCTAATATGAAGGGCATCATGAGAAAGGGGGGATCCCTCCAAACCCCCTGCAGACACATTGGGCGCTAGTTTCTAATGTCTTTATATCAGAAAACAAACATACAGAACAAAGGAATGAATGCAAATAACACATCTAGCTGCTAATAAGCATAAAAATCACATATATTTTAATATTACGTACTAGACAAATACAGAAGAAAAGACTAGAGAAAGATCCGACATGTGCTGCAGGCACTGATACAATGCATGATGCATTTATTTAGTTCAACATTAGCTTCCTAATGTAACATATGCTCCCCCTTGATGAGTTTTGGATGCCAGGGCTCTGTAGATATTCATGATGATTATTTTTATGTTGGGAGCTCCTGCACTGCAATCAGTGTTGGAGTACAAGCAGGAAGCTTTGAGTCAAATATCTCAATCAACTATACCTAACCGCATGTTTAGATAGCTGTAATGGAGAAAATATAAAAAAATATAGGTGAAGTGGTCTGTACTGACTTGATTCGTCACGTCTAAGCACTTGTTAGCATTTTTGGAAAAACAAAATGAATGGGCAGATGTTTCATCACCTGTTTCTCTGCTCTCTTTGTGAATAGTTGCCAAGGGGACATATGCACAGAGGCTTTTTGGAAGAGATCCTGACAGCTAAATAGACAACTGAAGTCTCCAGCATCCACCAGTGTCAATTATATGTGGAGTTTCTGAGGTATTCTGGCAAAATTGCCAGACGCATGTTGAGAATGCAACTAGCTTCATGTCAGAAATGAACTGTGGGGAATTTTCTTCAGATATTTAGGGTGTAGGCTTCTCTCCTCTTCAGTCTGGTTTTTGAGTCTTTCACTGTAGTTTTATTTGCATGTATATGTTTATGTGTTTGTGGTCTTTATTTAATATTTATTAAGTACAGAAACACCATCAACATATTGGAATATATATCATATAATTATAGCAATACAACAAATGAAGGTTCATGCCAGATGAGTGATTGTGTCTTTGTTCGTGTGCCTTGTTTTTGTTGTGTTGTGAACCAGCAAACACAGACGGAGACAAAAGGGGAGACAGAGCCGCTGTTGATGACAAGGTCAGAAAATGTGAAGACGAGGATGACACGATGACAACAGCGTCAGTTTAAATTATAATAACGCAGACACTGACAGAAGCACGAAGAGAGAAGACAATGAAAAACAACAGCTTTAATGAAGGATAATGTATCTGAAGCCATTGTTTCTGTGTTCAGAGTAAAAACCTTGAGCGGGACAGGATCAGTGCGATCAGTCATTCTCATCTGACTTTCTGTCACTTCCAGGCCATGGAGTGAGATGATCTGGATGTTCAGAGAAGCTCCTCAGTGGCTTACCTTTGCTCCCTCGATGTTTCCCTTGACAATTTCGTCTGGGTTTCTTGCTCTTGCCTCACATACAACAAACACACTGGCTGGTGCTATTGTTTCATACCTCAGTATTTCTGAAATGCTTCTATGTGCTGCTGACTGTATCCCCATGTTAGATGACTACAGCATGGAATGCAGAGATCTTGTTTTTTTCCTACTTGCACAATATATATTTCAATACATACTTGATCAAGGTTGTACCTACAATCTAGGAAAGGGTGTAGAATATTTTAAAGTTTCATCATTTTTATCTTTAGATCAGTCCAGGCTTTTAATTTCATCAGATTTTGCTTCTCGCTGCTCTTGTTTTAGTTGATTCATCTGTTCCTAAAACTTCAATGCTATGATTAATGTTTTTTAATCAATTATTTATTTAGTTTTTACTAACTTTACTTTTCACACTTTCATTGTTATTTATATTGTTTTATTGCTGTTCTTTTACTTTATCATTTGTGTAATATTTTATTTTGCTCTGCTACATTGTAAATGAGGGTTCAACGCCTCAGTT